CCGAGCCCTTGAGCCTGAGATAACTGTCCAACGGAGATAATCAGGGGAAGGAGGGTCTGAGATACCAGCTGATGAGTGTGTCCACAGGACTGAAAGGAATGGAGAGCCCGTCCCTCCCTGCTGGGGAAGGGCACTGGCAGCGCGGGTTGGGGCGGGCGGGCATGGGTGGCATCTTGGTTGGCAGGTAGGAGGCCTCTGCTTAGTAGACAGGGAAGCACATGTCGGGCCACTCCCTGAGAAGCTGCAGATTGGCCTCCCACAGTTTGGAGCCTGTGTGTGTGTGTGTGTGTGTGTGTGTGTTTTAATTTATTTATTGTTTAATTTACATCCAAGTTAGTTAGCATCTAGTGCAACAATGGTTTCAGGAGGAGATTCCTTAATGCCCCTCACCCACTTAGCCCACCCCCCTCCCACACCCCCTCCAGCAACCCTCTGTTTGTTCTCCGTATTTAAGAGTCTCTTATGTTTTGTCCCCTCCCTGTTTTTATGTTATTTTTGCTTCCCTTCCCTTGTGTTCATCTTTGTATCTTCAAGTCCTCATATGAGTGAAGTCATAGCATATTTGTCTTTCTCTGACTGATCTTGCTTAGCATAATGCCCTCCACTTCCATGTATATAGTTGCAACTGTCAAGATTTCATTCAATTTGATTGACAAGTAATACTCCACTGCATAGATATACTACATCTTCTTTATCCATTCATCCACCGATGGACATTTGAAAAGGAAGGTTAGGGCCTGAAGCATAGGCCCCAGTAGGAAGCCAGACAAGGTGACAGAGGTAGATGTGGTGGTTGTGGGGGGCAGGGAATGGTTGGATGTAAAAATTGGGCCATTCTTCCCAATTCCCCATGGATCTGCATTAACTGCCAGCTGACGTTGGCTCGGGCAAGCCCATCCTGCGCCTGGAGCAGCTGCTTGCTTTTACTCCTTTCTGCCTCTCTTTCTGGCCAATGTCTTCTTTCCTGGGAGCCCTTCTTCACTGGCCACAAGGCAGACCAGACCATGAGAACTTTTGCTTGCTAATGGGGAACATCAGACTCTGGTTACCTCCAGCAGACAAGCGTTGTGAGGAAACAGCCAGCTGTCTGCAAACCAGGAGGCACGCTAAGAGAAGCAGCCCCAGAAATGGGCAGGACCCAGGCTCACTCTGGGCGTGAGGGAGCCGGAGCTAACGGATCGTGTTCCTGGCAGGAAGAGCCAGGTCCAGGATGTTGCCGCTGGGATTAGCCACTTCTCAGAATCTCAAATGAGGCCTTGCTCCATCTAGGTCCTGGAGGAAGGGGCTTCTGGAGTGAAAAGCAGCCCATCGAATTTTCTCTCCCACCCAGACTATGTGTAACAGACCCAAGCACAGTAAAACCTTGGATTGCAAGTAACTTTTGTTGCTGTTCCTCAAGATGAGCAAACATGTCTAATAAATTCTAACTTGATAAATGAGGAATGTCTTGCAATACGAGTTGTACGTGGCATTGAACGTCACATGATCATAACTGAGCCAATGGTGTTCTCTTGTGCACTGCGGAATTGTGGGTGATTGTCTCCCATGCTCGGATGCTCAGTCTCAGGCTGCAGTGTTTGGCAGAAATCAGAGATTTTTCAGCATATTGGAGGATGCCCACAACTGGCACTAGTGTATTTTTGTCACTTCCAAGCACCTATAGACAGCCCTTTGCTTTTCCAGACAAGAGTAAGCTTAGGAATGCTTTGCTTCACTCTAGGTCAGGCTGCCTGCAGACACAGACCTTTTCCTCTGCTGCCTCCTTGCCAGTTACATTAAATAGAGTGTATGACAATAGATTATTAATACTGCACTGTAGTCAGCTTCAGTGCAAACGTATACAATGGTCCCCATGCTGAAAAATATTCCATTGAGCCAATGGATAGCAGTGATTCCATTAGTGATACTGAAAGTCGTCCCTCACAATAACCCACCTCTCGTCTCCCTCCCACCAGCCATGAAGGTTTTCAAACGGAAGTGCTGGTTAATTTATTTTTCTTTATATTTTGCATTTCCTTTATTATTTTGTATTATATTACAGCATTGAAATCATTTTTATATGAATATATTTGGGTTGTGGAACGAATCGTCTGAGTTTCCATTCTCCTCTTTTTTAAGTTTATTTACCTATTTTGAGAGAGACAGAGTGTGAGCAGGGGAGGGGCAGAGAAAGAGGGAGAATGTGAAGAAGTCATGCGGGACTTGAACTCACAAACCATGAGATCATCACTTGAGCCAAAGTTGGACGCTTAACCAACTAAACCACCCAAGTGCCCCTCCATTATTTCTTATGGGGAAATTCGCATTGAGATACAAGTGCTTTGGATTACAAGCACGTTTCCGGGACAAATTTTACTCACAAACCAAGGTTGTGCTGTATTTGAAACTGGCAGAGTTGTCAGGAAGGGGTAATCCTGGTCAGCCAAAAAAGGGATTGGGGTTTTTTTTGTTTTACTCAAAGATATCACTTCTTATTTCTTTGAGAACATGAACATGAAAACACAGTGCTAGGAACTATTGTAACCATGCTAGGGACTGCTTTAATCAGCGCATGGAGGGTATGTAATTCATGGTCAGTGTATCCAGTTTGTACAGCAAGAGATCAAGGGGCAAGTTCACAGCTACATACGACACAGGTGGGTCTGACCCCAGGTGTACCAACCGCCAACAAACCATCATCCCATGCTGCCTCTCATCTGTCCCGACCCCCAACTGCATTAATTTCTCTCTCCTTTCAACTCTAATATCACTTTTGACAAGACTTTATTTACCGTGCTTTGCAATATTGATTTGGGCATGTTTCTTTCTCACTCATTATTATGATCATCACACTTACTGACTTACATTTTGTAATGTCTTTCTTGAATGTTTAAAGTCAATGCTTTCGTTTATTTAAAAAAAAAAACCTTCTAAATTAAATTAAATGTCTGGTTTTGATTTCTTCTCCTCCCATGAGTCAGCGCCTTGAACAACAGAAACTCCCAACCCCTGGACGAAGGCCAAGAGGAATGTTCCTTTATTAAAATCAGCCAGCCCGGAGCTGGGCCTTCTTCCCACCGCTACGTTCTCTTCAAGTTCTCTCCACCCCATCAGGAGTAACCAGCCATCAAAGCCTAGCTTTCAGCTGAGCAGGGGAACATGCTTATTCATGTGATATACACGATACACGAAATACAACACCGTGCCCACCCTGGGCCACGCTGGAGAGAACAATGGAGTCAACTTCCATGATCCAATCTCAACAACTCATCTCTACCCCAGCAACACACCCTCATACACACCCTCACACAGTCTCATACACATCACGACACCCCTCACACTCTTGTACATCCTCACACAGACTCATACTCCCTCATACCCTCTCACGCCCCTGCATACCTTCACACATTCTCATACCCACCCCTCACACTCTCGCACACCCACGCACACACTCACACTCCCTCACAACCGTCATATACACTCACACACCCATGCACACCCTCACACACAGTCTCTCACACCTACCCCTCATACGCTCATACACCCATACATACCCTCGCACACAATTACACACCCTCACACTTTTCACATACTCATATATACTCATACCCCTTCATACACTCTCACGCTTATATATACCCTCACATACTCACACCTACCCTCACACTCTGTCACACTCTCTCACACACTCACATCCACCTCCCACGCTCTTGCACACCCATGCATACCCTCACACCCCTCATACTTTTCACACACTCATATACACTCACACCCCCTCATACATTCTCACACCTATATATACACTCACACACTCATACCTACCCTCATACGCACACATGCACTCACACACACACCCTCATACACTCATACAAACTCTGGCAAATGCTCACACACCCCTTCACACCCACCCCCCACCTACATGCCCATACTCACACACACCCTCACACACCCACACACTCAAGCTCACACACACGCTTCTCCCCAGTGGGAGGACTATAAAGCCAGGAGTGGGCATCATGATTTCATCTTCTCATATTTTACAATGTATCTCTAAAATATGAGAATTCTACTACATAGAACTACAACAACATCACCAAATCTAACACATTTAGTAAAAAAATTCCTTCATATCATCCAATATCCAGTCAGTAGTCGAGTTCCCTCAGTTGGCTTCTGTATTTTCTGGATCAAATAAGGATCGAAACCTGGGTTCACACATTACAGCCAAAGTGTTAAGGAGACACATACAACTGCCCAAACTTTCACAGCTTCAATTTTGTTTGGACACAGCGTTTTCAATATATTTTTAGAAATTAGATTCTGGTTGGCTGGTAGTCAACACCTGTCTGGGTCCTGAAGCCGCCCTTGGCTGCACATGTGACATGACTCAGGATCCCTCAGCCCACATCTCCTTGTTAAGTAGATCTATCTTGCAGTTAGCTAAGAGGAATTAACTAGGCCTTTAAAAACAAAGTGCGATAGTACTTCTTCTAAAGGAGTGAAGAAATTATCAACCGTTCCTTAAACTGTAGAGTTTACTTATGGTAGCCTCGCTTATGAGAACTTCAGTTGAGAACTAACCCAGATGTCCATCTGAAGGGACTGGGCCAAACAGGGCACACTATGTCCAAACAATGGGAAATCAAATCATTTTTTTAAGGTTTTTTTTTTTTTTTTTTTTTGAGAGAGACACAGAGAGTGAGAGGGTGAGGAGCAGAGAGAGGGAAAAAGAGAATCCCAAGCAGGCTCCAGGCTCTGAGCTGTCAGCACAGAGCCTGATGTGGGGCTCAAACCCACAAGCCTGAGTCATACACCTAACTGGCTGAATCACCCAGGCGCCCCCAAGCCACTTTGTAAAATAATGCGGTTGTGCTGTATGTAATACAAAATAGCAAATGCCAAGATATACTGGGGCAGAAACAGAACAGTACAAGTACCGTGATCCATTTTGCCTAAACAGAAATTATCTGTTTCTATATACACATAAAGAAAGATAAAAGAATAAGTCATTTGGCACATACCCAAATTCTAGACTCCTGGAAGAAAAGAAGGTATTCAGCTTAGAGCTTACCGCTTGCACAAATGGTTCAAGCACAGTGAGCCCGGCTTATCAGTTAATCAGGTTCCCAGTTGCTAGCCCAGGGCCAACCTCATGAGCAGGCTTGTCAGAGGACACAGCTGATTCCTGCCAAGTTAACTCTTTCCAACTCAGCCAGCACACAGGAGTCAGGTGTACAATAAACACAACATTTGGGCCGCCTGGGTGGCTCAGTCACTTGATCATCCAACTCTTGATTTTGGCTCAGGTCATGATCTCAGGCTTGGTGAGTTCAGGCTCTGTGTCAGGCTCCACAGTGACAATGCACAGCCTGCTCAGGATCCTCTCTCTCTCTGCCCCTCGCCTGTTCACATGTGCTATCTATAAATAAATTAATTTTAGAAATAAAATAAAATAATATCAGCAGCCTCCAGTCTGTTTTCATGGTGAAAATGGTGAAGCCAGTCAATTGTGTCTCTTTTCCAGAAATCACATTTTCCCTCCAGGGACCAGGGACATAGCACACGGCACTGGTGTCACACTTTAGGCCAGACAGCCATTGACATGCCCTCTCCATGGACAATGGCAATGCCTTTCCTGTCCTTTTCTTCACTTTCCACAGCATCTTCCAGAAAAGTGTAGGGCCAGCACGAAACAGCCCAGTTTTCTCTGGCACTATAGCAGTTCATGTTCAAATGCCTGGTGTGAGAAGGGTCTAAAGTCTTTAAAAATCCAGATTGGATTTTGAACTCCTTGGTCACTCCCACAGTCTTCTTGTTGATAGTAATTTCCAAATCAGATGACTTGTGTCAAGGAAGAACCTGGCCAAGAGCCTGATCACTCAGAAAGTACTGTTCATTCTGGCCTGGGTTGCCATACTTGGGTAAACTTTGCTCTGGGGGTGATAACTTTTGCCCTTTCTTCTTATGTAAACTGTTGAACTCTGTACATCCAAGTATCCACCCTCAAGATACCTTGGACAGTGCTGGCTCAGGATATGCTATCTGACGCACGTCATACTATGTTCAGATGCACCGTTCAGCAATTTGAGGATCGTCCAAAGCACTAGACCAACTTACCTCGTCTGCATGGATTTCTTTTGTTGTTGAATATTCAATCTCTACTGAAAATGATAGAAGTGGAGGGTTTGAAGATCACCTGTTACACTTACAAAGTCTGAATAAAGATTGTAAAATTCAGGGTAGTTGTAGGACTACTTTCTTAAACTTTTTCTTTTTTCTGAGAGAGAAAGAGCCTGTGCACCAGAACAGGGGAGAGGGACAGAGGGAGAGAGGTAATCCCAAGCAGGCTCCATGCTCAGCACAGAGCCCAACACAGGATCAAATCCCACAACCCTGAGATCATGACTTGAGCCAAAATCAAGAGTCAGATACTCAACTGACTGAGTCACCTAGGTGCCCCTGGGACTACTTACACGTGTGTTATTTATAAACCTGAAGGCTTGTGTTTCTTTGCCCAGAGCCACACTTGTTACAGCCATGAGTCAGACATCTTGCCTCTTTGGGTTCAGAAATCATTGCAATTGCACGCCCACAAACATACTCCTACGGAAGGATCTAACTCTGAACAACATACAAAACTTGCATACAAATAAACAATACACTGTGCTTTTCTGGTTTCCCCTGAACAGAAATTTTTAGCAAATAGGCTAGGCAATGTTTTTGTTCTCGGTTTTAAAATTTGCTTCAAATTTCTGTGCTTGGGTTGATAATCCACAAAGATATTCCATTACCTTAAATGGGTATGTAATTTCTACCTACAAGTGACTGTGAAATGGCATAGCAAAAATCTTTCATAAAAACAGAGAATTTTGTCTACTGTTTTCTTGATTCATTTTGTGATTAATTGCTTAGTACCTTAAGATGTCTCTTTATTACTTTTTGACTATTAGTTTACATCTGCTTTGTTCTTTAACACCTCAGGCCTTCCTCTCCTCATTTAAAGCTCCATAAAAGCAATGGCTATATTTTTATTCACCTCTGTGTTGAGCCAACTGTGGGAAAAGTCACTAGTACTTACTAATCTTCTGCTGAATGGGTGAACAGATGAGTGAATGAATAGGTGGTAAGTTCCCAAAGAACGGGAGCGATCTATTCTAGAATCTCGGCCAGAGAAATGCTAGTTTTCCTGAAGGAGACTCTGAGTACTCGTGCAAAAGCTGCACATGTGGCTATGCCGTGTCGCTTCTCCACAGTCAAAAATTCACAAGTAATTCTCATCCCTTAGAGATACATGCCAAGATATTTATGAATGAAGAGAGTTCGTGTGTGTGATTTGCTTTGCAAGAACTGAGGAGTGAGTTGAAGGAACAAAAACAAGCACAGCTAACACAGGGTCAGCCATGAGGTTGATCCAGTTGAAGCTGAATGTATATTTGAAGGTGTTCATAATCCACTCCATAGTGGATTTCACAAGTGATATAGTTTATTGCCATGCTAGTATGTTGTTTTCTCTAGGGAAAGAGGCACTCCGTATCGACCACCTACCACAGCAAACATTTCTGCCAACTTTTCAACACCCTTGATCTTTGGGGAATTCCCCACTCTTTGAGTCCTTGCCTTCCCAGAACAGAAGACAGAAAGCCACTTTCCAAACTCTTTTATACTCCAACCCTCTAGGGTACGGATATGAGACGTGGACCCTGTCCATCGGACATACTCAGGTCAATCATCGATTCAGGAGAGTCACAAAAATAGGAGATGCCAGGAAGAACTTTCTGGAAAGGAGGGTAGGGAGGCTTTCAGTGTGCAGAGGCAGCTCTGGCCAGCCTGGCAGTTACATCCCTTGTCCAGGCCTCTGTCCAGACACTGACGCATTCAGGATTGTACAATACTGGTCCTGGACCCTTACCCTCTAGTATTGTGACCCTCAAATATCCCTTAACAAATTTCCTTATTGCTTGAGCTGACTAAAGTAGGTTTGCTTTTAGTGCTTTTGCAACTAAATTCCTTGACTGATGCATCTACCTCATCCTAGGTATTGGATATTTAGTATCTAACTCAATCTGGAAATGATAACCCAGTGAGGTTTGCGAAGAAGGCAGGAACAAGATTATGAAGAAGCTGGTTGGCCATGCCTGGGCATTTAAAATTTATTTCTCATGCAAAGGGGAGCCAATATATATTAAATGTGAAAAGGAAGTGAGGGGCTGCGGGCACAGTGGGAAGGAAGCCTGAATTATCTCAGAACTTTCTCAACCAACATAGAGGAAATGAAAAGGAAAAACAGCAGTACCCAACACAGTGACTCCCCAAGACCTCTGCAAAGAAAAGCCCTCCTTCCTTTGGTCAGCAGGGGGTGCAGCTAGCACAGGTTCCTGCTCCTCTCTGTAAGGAGGAGTGTGTGTGTGTGTGTGTGTGTGTGTGTGTGTGTGTGCGCGCGCACGCGCGCACGAGCGTGTCCCCACCTGGTAAACTGAAAGTCAACAGGCAACACTTCCCTTTTCCACAGTGGAAACAGACCTGCAGACCACGGGGTAAAGTCACTCCCACTGCCCCTATGCTCATGGATTCCATCCTTCATTTTAAGCATAATGAGTCCCTGAGGTAGGCCGAATAATGGCCCCCACAGATATTTACGTTCCAAGCCCTGGAAACTATGAATAAACTAGATTGGGTGGAAAGGAGGAATCAATTTGCAGACGAAATTGCTAATCAGCTGACCTTAAGATAGGGAGATTATCCTAGACTGTCCAGTTGGGCACAGCGGAATCATGGGGTCCATAAAAGTGGAAGAGGGAGGCAGGAGGGAGGCCACACTGACTCCATGTAAGAAGCACTCCCCCCTCCCGCTGTTGCTGGTGTGATGACAGAGGAAGGAGCCACAGGCCAAAAAACGTGGGTGGCCCCTAGAACTATAAGAAGCAAGAGAACAGACTCTCCTCTGGAGCCTTCAGCAAGGAGCACAGCCCTGCCCACGCCTTGATCCTATCCCAGTGAGACCCATGCCCGACCCTAACCTACCAAACTGTAAGGTAGTACATTTGTGTTGTCCTAAGTTTGTGGTCATTTGTTACAGCAACCGTAGAAGGTTAAGAGAGCCCCCAGGGATGAGAGCCATCGGTGTGGGAGAATCACCCCAATAAATACACCCATGATCACTTGAACGATGGCTGAGAAGAGAGTTCTGCTCTGGGATGCTTAGATATTTAAGAAGAGTGACTGCTCATTTCCATTTCCTGAGATATACACTACAGGTCAGCAAGCACATAGGAACAGACTCAAAACCCGGTTAAGAAAACATAGACATGTGGCAAGTGGTGGGGGCCATCCACCCCCATGAGAGTCAGTGTTTCACCATGAATCAAGTGAGGCTAACGTCTGCTCTGGTGAATGCAGGGCTGCCGGGGTTCAGTGAGGTGGTGTACATGTCCCTGCGGTAAGTGCTACACACACAAGCTGTATTTGTGATGCAAGTGTCTATGTGGTGAGTGCTATGCACACAAGCTATATTTAACTTGTGGCTAAACCAATGGGCGTGGCACCTAAGTAATCATAGACATTCTTTTATTTGGAGACCATCCAAGTGACATCATCACATTTGACACTGCACACTCGATCAATACTGAGAGGCATACCATATGACGTTGAAGATGTTTCCTTGTGCTGCTAGGTGAACTACCTACACTCCTCATCTATGAAATGTGAAAAACGGGCTTGTGAGACTAAAATGAGATCGTATCAATAAAGCGCTTGGCATGAGACCTAGCACGTATCTGGGACATGACTCACCCTCAGTAGCTATCGTTACTCAGGAAGGGGCACTTATGCACACAAGGCATCCACCACATGTGATCACTTAAATCCTTTTTACCTGGATTATTTCATTTGATTAGCTAAGCCTCCCTCAGAAAGAAGCATGACAAGTTTATACCCATTTCTCAGATATGAAAGAAAAGGCACAGAAAAGAAACATCTGTTGCTATAGTGTATGAACACGAGGATTAGCTTCACCTGAGAAGATTTAGGTAAAACAATCCCAGAATAACTTCCTTTTGCTCACACCAGTAATACTATAAAGCTACCAGTAAATGAATAAT